TATAATATATATATATGTGTCTTACCTCCTGATTGTAATACAGCAACAGTATGTGTAGGTGCAGCAGCAATAGAGGTAGCAGATTTAATAATATCATGTATAATAGGTTTATATAGATAAGTATCTTTTTCTTGATAGCTGTCTATACACCTGAATTCATTAAGTCCTCCTCCCCATACAAAATTATTTTTTTCGAATATCCAACTTTTATCTTCGCTTAGACAGGCTCCAAAAATAATACGATTTCTTAGCTTTTCTATAAGAGTTGGGGGTAAATATAATACTTTTCTCTCTTTTTCTTCTCTTATTAATCTGTATTCTTCTCCTTTTCTTCCCTTTTCTATATATTCATCTAATCCTTCTTCTCCTCTTTCTTTTAATTGGTCTATTGATGGGTCTACTGATACTCTATCATCTTTTACTCCTGTTGCTGTTGCTGCTGCTGCTGCTGCTGCTGCTCCTGCTGCTGCTCCTGCTGCTGCTGCTTCATTCTTCTTATTGTTTGATGTATCCGAATTATTCGATAACTCCCTCTCATCTCCTGTCTTCTCCTCCTGCTGCTGCTGCTGCTGCTGTTGCTGCTGCTGCTGCTGCTGCTGCTGCTGCTGCAGGACTTCCTCTAGTGTAGGTGGTGCTGCTGCAGTCATGAGTTGCCCACAGTCATTAAGACCCCACATATAAACAGAGACACCATACTTACTGTATAGACACTCGGATGTCTGTGCATGCAAGGAGGGAGTCCTGCTGCCTCCTCGGGTGTATACGCAGCTTGTACCATCTTCTAATTGGTCTCCTACTACTCCTCCTCCTCCTGTTGATTGTTCCTGTTCCTGTTGTTGTTGTCCTGCTGCTGCTGCTGCTGCTGCTGCTGCTGCTGCTTGGGCTGCACCTGCAGCAGCAAATCTGTCTCCTATAGGAGGAGAAGGTATACGTTTTGTTGTTGATCTGCTTAATACTGGAGAATCTCCTGCTGCTGCTGCTGCTGCTGCTGCTGCTGATTCTTGTTGTGTTGCTGCTGTTGTTGCTGCTGGAGCTGATGCTGCTGTTGCTGCTGCAGGTGTTGCTGTACCTGCAGCAGCAGATGGGAATGTGCTGCTGCTGCTGCTATTAAATGTACTTCTTGTACGTGGCAGCAGCTGCTGCTGCTGCTGCTCTGTTCTTGTCTGCCGCTGCTGCTGCTGCTGCTGCGTTGCTTCTGAATCCAGCAGCGAATCCCTTCTGTTGCCATAGCTAGAGGCTAATTCTCCTTCTTGTTGCTGCTGCTCCTCATCGTCTTGCTGCTGATCCTGCTGCTGATCCTGCTGCTGCTGCTGCTGCTGCTGCCGCTGGTGCCGCCTTAGGCGCTGCAGCGGCCGCAGGCAGTCGGATAGATGCAGCGGCATAGCTGCTGCTGCTTCTGCTGATCCTGCTGCTGCTGCTTCTCCTCTTGCTGCTAGTGTTGCTGTTGTTGTTGCTCCTGCTGCTGTTGCTGCTAGTCGCAGCTGTTCTTTGCTACCAGTGGCTGCGAGTTTGCTGCTGCTGCTGCTGCAGCAGCAGCAATAGTACCTTTATCTGCCTGTATTTAGTTGCCGCTATAGCTGTTATTAATGTTACTAATGTTGTTGCTGCTGATGTTGCTGCTGTTGCTGCTGTTGTTGCTGCTGTTGTTAAGTCTCGAGTGGTCTGCTGCTGCTGCTGCTGCTGCTGCTGCTGCTAGCCAACAAAGGGGATCTATGGATAATTTGCCTTCGTCTCCCTAAATTTATATAAAAGAAAAATAAAAGTTGCTGTTATTATTATTTTATTTAAGGGTGCAGCAGCAAAGTGCAGCAGCAGCAGCAGCGGCTGCTGCTGCTGCTGCTGCTGCTGTTGCTGCTGCTGCTGCTGCTGTCGATGGCGAGGAGCTGTTGAGGTACTCAATAGTAACAAGAAGGAAGCAGCAAATAATCTTCTTCTTTTCTTTTTCTTTTTTATTTAATTATAATTAATTTAATTAAATAAATAATTATTTAATTAAATTAACTAAATATTCAGGTGTATATGCTGCGGTGTATGTGCAGCTGCTGCTATTAACACACCGACCCAGTATGCCAGCAGCAGCAGCAGCAGCAGCAGCAGCAGCAATGAATAGAGGATTATCCTATTGCTTTTTATGATTAATTCATTGATTTAAATAAAATAAATAAAATAAATAAATAAAAAATAAATAAAAATAACATTTAGGTGTCTATACAGCCTGTATATATCCCTTTTCTGATGCTGTTGCTGCTGCTGCAGCTGCTGCTGCAACAACAGCAGCAACAGCAGCAACAGGAACAGCAAGTCCTTATATATATAAATAATATATACAGCAGCAGCAGCAGCAGCAGCAATTCTTTTATATATATAAATATATTATTGAGGTGTATATACACCTCAATAATTTAATTAAATCAATGTATGAACACTGAGGTGTACGTACACCTCAATGTATGTAATTAATATATTTAAATAAATAAATTAAATAAATAAATAAATAATAAATTAAATAAATAAATAAATAAATTAATTAATTAATTAATTAATTAATTAAGTAAATATTTAGTAATAAATAAATAAATAATAATAATTTATTTTTATTTATTTTACCTAATTTATTTTATTAAATAAAATTAAATAAATAAAAATATCTTATTTATTTATTTATTTATTTATTTATTTATTTATTTATTTATTTATTTTTTATTGTTTTTTTTTGTTATTTTATTTAATAAAATAATAAACAAACAAATAGCAACATTTGCTGCAGTCCTGCTGCTGTTGCTGCTGCTGCAGTTGCTGCAGCAGCAGCAGCAACTGCAGCAGGACTGCAGCAGCAGCAGCAGTTGTTGATGTATAGATCCTTGAGGCCTTCATTATGTGTATTGTGTGGTCTAAACCCTAAACCCTAAACCCTAAACCCTAGGAATATTATCTGATATATTATAAGGGTTTATAAACCCTTATTTATTCTTTGCCCTTATAAACACTCAGGAGGTTGCTGCTGCTTCTGCTGCTGCTCTTGTTGTTGTTGCTGCATGCATGCATGCGTACCTTTTTCTCAGCAGCAGCAGCAGCAGCAGCAGCAGCAGATATTAATATTTAGGGTGTATGTACACCTAAGACTAATTGAGGTGTATATACACCACAATAAATAATCATTAATTAATAAATACTCCTATAAGATTAACTCCTCTAAGGGAATAGATAGATAGCTAGCTAGCTAGCTATCTAGCTAGCCACGTAGTTAGCTAGCTAGCTAGCTAGCCACGTAGTTAGCTAGCTAGCTAGCTAGCCACGAAGCTAGCTACCTACCTGCAGCTAGTTCACCGTAGCTAGCTAGCGCCGCTGCTGCTGCTGCAGGTGCTGCTGCTGCTGCAGGTGCTGCTGCTGCTGCAGGTGCTGCTGCTGCAAAACCCTAAAATAAACCCTAAACACTAAACCCTAAACCCTAAATAAGGAGCAGCACGACCTCGACGTCTTCGTCAATCCTCTTAGCTGTAAACCCTAAACCCTAAACCCTTGGAAACCCTAAACCCTCATTCCTTAGGGTTTGCGAGGTGTACATACACCACAAGTCCCCGCTAATCTATCCAGGCAACTGAGCAGCAGCATACAGCAACAGCAGCACAAAGAGCAGCAGCAGCAATGACAGCAGCAGGAGCAGCAGCAGCACTAGCAGCAACAGCAGCAGGAGCAGCAGCAGCACTAGCAGCAACAGCAGCAGAAGCAGCTCTTCTGAGCAGCAGAAACAGCAACATAAGCAGTAGCAGCAGTAACATCTGCAGCAACCCAAGCTGCAGCAGCAACCCAAGCAACAACAGCAGCAACACAAGCAGCAGCAGCAGCAGCAGCAGCAGCAGCAAGAATATGCCGCCATAAGTATAAAGAGGAGAGTTATAATTTGTTAGTAAATAGCGGCAAATAAGACAAAGACAAAAAGAATCACACACATACTGCAGCAGCAGCAGCAGCAGCAGCAGCAAATGCAGCAGCAGCAGCAACTGCTACTGCTGCTGTTGCTAACCTGCTGCTGCTGCTGCTGCTGCTGCTGCAGCATGAATAAGGAGACAAAGTGTCTCCTCTCTTGCTGCAGTTTACTAACAGCAAAGTTACCACTATTGCTGCTCATATATCCATTCATCTTGCTGCTGCTGCTGCTGCTGCTGCTGCTGCTGCTGCTGCTGCTATAACATCACGACGAACAACAACAACTGCTGCTGCTGCTCTTGCTGCTGCTGCTGCTGCTCTTGCTGCTGCTGCTGCTCTTGCTGCTGCTGCTGCATGCATGCATCCTCTCTTTATTTGTTTATTTCTTCCCTCTATACCGCGCATGCGGCTATAATATAAACACATCCAAATACCCCTTGCTGCTGCTGCTGTTGCTGCTGCTGCTGTTGCTGCTGCTGCTGTTGCTGCTGCTGCTGTTGCTGCTGCTGCTGCTGTTGCTGCTGCTGCTGCTGCTGCTGCTGCTATTGCTGTTGCTGCTGCTGTTCCTTCTGCTGCTGTTGTTGTTCCTTCTTCTTCTTCTCCTCCTCCTCCCCTTGTTGTTGTTACTGTTGCTGTCTTGCTACTAATAGGCCATTTACCTTCCTCTGAATCCTCCACCCCTGGGGCCCCCTCCTCCTCTTGGTCCCCCCCTGGGGGCCCCCCTACCTCCCCTACCCCTACCCCTAGCTAGGGGCCTCAATCCTGTCTCCCTAGGGGGCCTCTGTATAGGTGTATCGTCAATAAGGAGAGTATCTAGGGGTAAGGAATCAGGGAGAATAAAGTATCTTATATTGCTGCCCCTAATAGTAAGATGATCTAATGATATACAGGAAGAAGAGGAAGAAAAAGAGGAAGAAGAGGAGGAAGAGGAGGAGGAGGAGGAAGAAGAAGAATTCTTTATTGTTAGTTTTACCCCCTTCATGTGTGTATTCATACTTATATCTATACCTACTATTGTACCATGAATAATAGTACCATTTTTTAGCTCTAATATAATAGATTCATTAGCTAAACGCATCAAGAAACGTACCAACTTCATCTTTATTTAATTAATTAATTAATTATTTATTTATTTTATAAAAAAAAAGAAGAAAAATCAAGAAAAATGATGTATTTATTCCTTATATTAATGCAACAAATGCAGAAACAGCAACAGATTCTGCTGCAATAAATCACAAGAAAAAGAGATAAATATACACTATAATCAATTGTTTTCTTCCTTATTTAATTATATTTATTAATTATTAATTATATTTATAATTTAAATCAAGAAAAATGATGTATTTTATGCATTTATTTGTATATATACACCCCAACATATACAGAAATAAGCACGATGATGAATTTGCACCCTCTCTTATGTATGCATGCATGCATAAATATTCATCAATTAAGGGGGAAAAAAGCAATTAAATCCTTTTTTTTTTATTTATTATATAAATATTTATATTTATTTATATTTATTTATCTATAAATCAACAAAAATACACATTTTATGCACAAAAACTTGCACTTCTTATCCATACAAACCCGCCCGGTATACTTTGCATGCGCAACCACACAGATGGACGTACACCTCAACTGCAGCAGCAGCAGCAGCAGCAGCAGCAGCAGCAGCAGCAGCAGCAGCAGCAGCAGCAGCAG